TTTCGGAAAGCTTTCTGAAACTTGTTTTGCTGTGTGGGGAAACATTATAAAATTTGCAAAATATATTTGTAACGTATTATATATATATTTTTTTCGTCATCATTGGAGTCTAACAACGATGCGAGATCATAGTGTGATACCATTACGTTCATCGATGTAATCGATAAGTTTCTCTTACTTACACTATAATTTTTATTAAAGTTATTTGTTAGAGGCCGTTATAATATGTTTAATTGGCCGACTTGATCATTTGTACCAAAATTTTTATTGTCATTGAAAAGGACCACATGTGTTGGTCGAAACGTTTGACTTTGATTATTTCTAATAAATAACATACATAATATTGTTATATCCGCACTCAACATCTAGCGTTTGGCTCTCATTGCCCCTTTTGCATTACGCATTTCAAGTATTATGATATTCTTTAGATTTTTCAAATTTATATTATTTCTCATATATTCCAAACGCAGCCTAATAGCATGCCGTGTCGGCTCAGTGCTTGAGCCGAGTGCCATTGGGGCCCATTGGAAAGATAGAGAAGATGAAGAAGAAAGCCTAATAGCATGTATAGCAACTTAACGCTACTTGATAGTCTCGTAATTTCCGATATTGCCGGTATCGATCGGTCTTCTTCGTCCACGTTGCCCATGTTCAAAGTGTATCTTCGCGACCTCCAATTAACGTGTCTCTTAACGATATCACTCTAATCCACGGTAATTTCTATTCCTATATAAATATATTTAAATAAACCACAAATTTGATAATAATTTCCTAATATGTAAAGTACTTCAGATTTTAATAGATGAAGTTTGAGAATATATGACATCCGATAAGAATAAGATAAAGCCCGGTTTTACCAACGCGAGTTAATCTAATCGGTCGGTTAACTTTCAGGGTGCCAACAGCCGAACATAAAACTGATGCCTAATTTGCTTGTTATAATTTTAAGATTAACTGTGATGACATGTACAGCATGCAGAATAAGGATTGTTAAAATTGAAATAATTTAATGAAATTTTCAGGTAACTGTTGTACACACTTGTGGAATATGCAAACTAATTATTGGTGAAAAAAGTATATACCGACTTATAGTTGTATAGAGGAATACACCCGGCTGTTTATTGATGACAACTTTTATTTCTATCCAGTAACAGGATATAATACCCAAGGAGCGCCAATGCGCATATAACGTGCGTTTATTAAATGCGCATTTT